ATTGGATTTCTTAATTTATTCAGAACATTTCTCACCACAGTAGGACGGAAGTTGCAAGGTGAAGTAGTGCATTATGTTATTGGAAAATTTTTAAAAAGGAGACAGACACAAAGAATTAGGTGCACACAAAACATCTGAGAATACTCTCAATTCATTGAAATGGGGGAAGGGATGGGGTATAAAAAAACATTAAAAAGTTGCACGCATTAACATCAACTGCTAGACCAACAACTTGGAACAAGTTTCAGTGGTTTGCTATAAGACATGAAGAAAAGTGAAAAATCATGGCTCAGAATAAGATACGACACAATCACCTTCAAGCCAACTTAAATAAAACATTATTTCGTCATTCAAAATCTGATGTGTGCTAGAGAGTGCAAATGTATACCCACTGAAACATGTGTTAACACTGGGATTGCATACAAACGTTAAATACACAACAATAAATTAGGTTCATAAATTAATTAAAAAGACATCCCGAAGCGACAGCGGAAATAATTTAAATATGGAAAATTAGAGCTGCCCAACTATCTCATCCTTAGACAACTTCACACACACAAAAAAAGAAAAATTGCTACGCAGGCTATTCCAGTGTTAACATATCTACACTAAACTTGAGAAACCACCTCATCTATTGATGTGAAGTCGGACAATCTGAGAAAATACAAGCAGATGAAGCCCAAAAAAAGTGTTACCCATAACGTCCAACGCAGCGGCGGCTGCCAGTGCATATCATCAACACCCCCGTCAATAGAAGGCGAAGAATATTGAAATCATATTGATGCCAGTGTCGTGACCCAGGCTATTTCGCCTATTTCAAAACTGGACGCTATTATTTATCTTGTAAACATTTTCACCTTTCTCCAGTTACACCTCAACTTGGGCGGTGACGTCTAATGTGACGACTGACAATGAAGACGTCATGGAACAGGTTCCTGCGGCGAGCCTCTTTTGTCTTCACATTGTTAATCCTTGTACACAGTTTGCTGGCCGTGCCCTCGCTCATCGTGCATGATGTGTCTCCTGACGTGGATCCTCCTTACTCGTCTGTCCCCGCCCACTGCGCCCTCTTCCTCCGATTGGCCAGTGCCCACCGATGAACCGGGGCCTCGAGAGTCGAAGAGGTGTAAGCCCCCGGGACCGGATCTTCGGCCATTCTCATAAATGAGGATATTAAGAGTTTCTTCAAAAATCCGAGCTTCGGGAAACTCAACCTGAAATCACAAACGGGAGGGTGGAAGTGAGAGAATGCGAGAGCAGAGGCAACCACTCAAGTGGGTAATCTGGTTTAGGAATGAGGTAGTTGCGCTTCATGAATGTTTTTATCAGCTCCACTGGAATAAAATAGTGACATGTACGACTCCAAATGTCATCACATCATTCCACACATTTGTAGCATCTCAAGACGATTTATTCCTAGATAGGGTTCGATTTTTTTTTCTCAAACCATATAATTAGGGAGACCACTTTTTTGAAGCCGAGGACAAACTCCTGATGACTGGTTTGTTGATGTTTCCAATGAGTGACTTTTTGATGCTTACTTTGGTCTGCTTCTTCTCCGTGGCATAGACGATGGACGTGCAGCATACTTCGGCTATCTTACGACCTTCGCCGTAAAACGACCAACAGCAAATCTCATCCCCGAGAACATCTTTGACAAACAGGACGCGGCCATTGAAGCGGAGTACAAGTTTGTCAAAAAGTTCGATGTTCTTCAACAAGTTGTCATCTGAATTGCTGGTCAAACAAAAAAAAAAAAA